GGACAAAGCTGGCACCCCAATCACCTCTTTATACCTATGGGCCTAATTAGGTATTAGTCTATAGACCCCTCTTAGCAAGAGGTAGTAGCTTGTGAATATCACTAATTTTGCAATGAATATCATTATATCTCAGTTACGGTATACACCCACATACAATAATTGGCCGCCATGTTTTACGTCAAGCAGCAAGTGCTTTCTGTGTCCTGGAGATCTTGGTCACTACATTTTGAAATTAAAAACTATTCTAGAGTCAAGAAAGATGCCAAGAGAGCCAACCTAGGAAGTATAGTGTAATACTCTTGTTGTATGAGCCTGCTTTCCTCTTTGGGCTGTGACAGAGAGTCAAGAACTGATTGTTCTGGCTCTCCCAGACGTCTTAAATCTTCAAAATATCTTGCTATAGTAAAGAACAGTTGATATGACGCCTCTCATATCAACTCAATTCAATTCATACCAATTGAGTTCATTGTGAGTCTCTTGAGTAAGAGATTAAGTGTTTGTGTAGATTGATTGACTGATGGTAATGATCAGGTATCATGAAATTACTACAATAAACATTGTGTACTCATGGCATATGTAGGCATGTACATTATGTGCATGTACACATATGTAGAGCATTTGTATGTATTGTGTATGCAAGTGGAGGGTTTCATTAAGAAGAGCTGGTTGATTACCTGTGTCAGCACAACATAACTTTTTTTGCAAAACAGCTCTACTTTGCACATCAGCCATTGGAACTCTGCATAACTTTGACGTAAAACATGGCAGATAAAAACCCGTTCGATATTATTTCGTTGTATATATGGCATCACAAACTAATTCTCGCCTAAAGGGGTCTATCCAGTACACACAATAGCACAGTACAATACAATACAATACTAGGCCGACTCACCAACTTCTCTGCAAGCAAATCCAATGAAGTCTGGAACACTAAACAGCATAGCCTCACTCTCTGGGTTACCTCTCTCAACCTTAAGAGGAGGAGAGGGATGAGGGGGAACAGAGGAATGATATTATAGTTCATGTGTGTCCTTACTCTGAATTCATTGTTCATTGTTCAGCAATCTTAAGACGAGCATGATCTGATGTCTCTACCTATAGATACAAAGAAGAACAGGTAAGGAAAAATACACTCGCTATCCTATCCTAGTTGCTAGGTAACAAACAGGTTAGGAATGTAGACATAGCTGTCTTAACAAATGAGTGGGCGTTAGGTGCTCAAAGACTACGAAGTCAGTTATACCATAGATACAATATACAGGGATTGGAAACGCTCGGATATTAATGATTGATGCTCGTTACGGATTAATTTGATTTTAACCCGTAACACGCCTAGGTTTTTTGACAATTTTTGTTGTCTCATTGAAATGTTAATATAGTGTTAACTTAGTTCATCTTAAGCTTATAGTTGATTATAGCACCTCCGAATCCAAGCTGCTTTAGTAAGCATTTAGTCAGCTAAAAATGTCTGCCAAAGACTTGTGATAGCTTTTGTACTTTTTTCTATTGAATGGCAACATTTACCTATTGATTTTTATCCCTGTGTGATAGATATTTACCAGCTCTGTTGCATAGAAGGCTGATATCCAAGTATTTGCAAAACCTATTTGTAGTACTGTTGCTTTATTGTCTTTTTCTGGACCATACTTTGTGTACTTTTTTATCTTAATGACATTCTTTATTACATTTTAAATTCTTGCAAAATGTAACATGTTTCATTGAATGCATGTGTTTGCTTTCATCACAGCTGCTCTTTTACCATCCATTACCTCCATCAAAATAGATGCAGCCATTCTGACAACACTAGAGCTAGGGGTGTCCCGATTATGCTAAATTTTTTACCTATAATTCTATTCAGAAATTCTCAAAAATTTGCCTATTATTCTTTTTATTCTGCCCTATTATTCTCACTTTATTCTTTATAATCATGAGCTAACTACAATAAAAATGAAAATTAGTAAGTCTAAGAAGCTATTTAAAGTATCACTATCAGCAGAGACTGCAAAATATAAGTCTCTATATCAATTTCAGAACCTGAACTTTGTTCAAAAATTGAGTGACAACTAGCTCAGGCATTAAAAAATTCAAAAATTATGCATTTGTTGCTCTTTAATTAGAGTTTGGCTACTGATCCACCTATTAGGCCAGCATTATTCTGGAATTGAAGTGCTACCTATTATTCCCAAAATTATTCCGGAATAATCGGGACACTCCTAACTAGAGCCATCATTTCTCCATAGGCGGTGGCAGGATTGGGATAGCAATTGAGCAAGAAATGGCGCGCGAAGCGCGCCCCGATTTTAGCCACACCCACTTTTCTCCGCGTATTTTGGGCGTATACTCAACGCAAGCATACAATCATAGATATTATAGACTACGTAACCATAATATCTAATATCTATAATATCTTTCATCAATATTATAGGTTACGTAGTCTATAACAGTGGCGTAGCTGAGGTAGGGCCTGAGGGGGCCTGGGCCCTACCATCAAAGTGGCCTTATAATTATATTCATAACCCAAAAGGTTATATTCATTGTTCTTACAATAACAAAAGGGGATGGCTGATAACCATAGCTCTTTTAAAGCTATATACAATGATAATTTCACTCTGATTTTGCTCAGCTTGCAGGAAAATGCCTCCATTTTGTTACGTAAAAAGGGTGTGGCCAAAATCGCGGCGCGCTTTGCGCGCCATTTTGTTTCCTTGCCCTACCGTCACCCAAGGTCCAGCTACGCCCCTGGTCTATAATATCTATGATACAATACAGTCTACACTCAGACGGTACTTCTCTAAACACCGGAAGTGTAGGAAATTGTGTGGTTTCCACCATGTCAGAATTGTTAGCCACATTATTTTACTTATTTCTCTCACATAGTTAATTGAACAGTACTGTAACTGGCACCATTAAGAGAGGAGAAGTTGTTTGTTATAAAGAAA